TCTCGAATGTCATAGCGTCAAATTTTTGCTGAGATATACTAAATCTGGCAAAGAAATGTAATTTAAATCACAACAAGTGTCCTAATCGACAATACCGCACAAAAATTTAAAATTTTTAAAATCTATTCAAGCCATCGTTTTGTGTATAAAAAATAATGGAACTTTGTCTTCTTTTATTTTTTTCTCAAATGTATCACTTACGAGCAAAACGCTAGAATCTAATAGCGCGAACACCCTGCATATTTTTACCGATTTATGATACTAATTTTAGCGGAGAAATTTAATTTAAATCATATAGTACTACCTGTACAAATTTAACAGGTGTCCTAATCGTCGTTACACGAAAAAATTGCAAATTAGAAAATCCATCAAGCCATTATATTACGCATAAAAATAATAAAACTTTCTTCTTTTAAATTCTTTCACAAATCTATTTGCGAGAAAAACGCTAGAAACTAATACCGCGAACAGCCTGCGTATTTTTACCGATTTATTTATTGCATACGAATTTATCAGGTGTTCCAATTCTTACGAACAACAACGCATATTTAGACGAGCGCCTAAAATTTAGATACACGCATTTACGAGAAAGGAGTCGGTGAATTTATTTAATGTTACATCACAGGCTGAAGGAGAAGGATCTGAAAAGGCACGATTGGAATTTTAATCGAGAATCTTGTTGTCGCAGATGGCATTCCAAGACGTACTGCTTGCAATCGGGTATGGGGGGTTTATCGGCTTTATTCTTAGGCATTTACCCTTGCCTCGAGAGGGGTACAAACACAGTGAAAATATAATAGGTTGGGGAGGGACTTCCTAAATTCACGTCGAAGGGAATTCCCGAAAATTTATCGCGATCGATAGCCTGTACTTTAATTCTCCGCTAATTTTCAGCAGTTGTTAACTTTCAAGCAGGGTGTTAGGGATTGGGTATATGACGTGGACGCCTGTTTACGCTATTTTTGAATGCGCCCACATACCTAAATTTTCTGCGGGACACATACCTTCCCGGTGCCCACTCGTGAACATTCAATAGACATTGACATGTCATAAAACCTTTCGCGTCTCCCTGACCGCCCAAAGTCCCGTTACGCGCGGGCTACCCTTGGGCCTCGCTTCCCCGCCATCGCGACATACCGCCACCCTGTCAACTTGGAAATTCCAGGGTGGGCGGCATGCTCGCGGGCCAGGGAGGACCGTTCAAGAGGGTAGACCCGTTCCCATTGGCGGAAACCACCACCTTCTACCCCTAAACCTTTTTTATAATAAGCGCACCAACGCGGCAAAAACACAGATCGAAAAGGGAAAATGGACAAGTAGCACGTAACGAACGCACACCACATAGAATTGTCACTCTTCAACATAAAGCCTTTGTCTTACAACATATTAAAGTATGTTCTTCACACCAAGGACCACCGACAATCCTGCGCCACCACTCTCGAGCATACCGCTTGTTCGAAGCGCACGACGCAACAGTAATAGTAAGGAATTTTCGAAAAACAATATTTTTTTAAAAATTTACTCCCAGCACGCTTTTTTCGAAAATTTTTTACCACCACAATGTAGGATATCAAAGCAACACAATTCGCTATTTCGCACTACTTCATAATACGATCCGCATAATTTCTTTGACAGGGTGTTTTCACCCCTAAGACCGTTTCATTACTGAAATAAAGAAATCCCTTTCATAATTACCGTCACTACATTGCTGCAAAGTTTCAAATTTTTTTGAATTTTCGAATTGCCGAATTTCCCTTGTCAACTCTATATGCATGATAAATTGCAAGATTTTGGATACTCTGAAACCCACCTTTTAAATTCTTAAAAATTTTTGACCATCCTATGTACATGATTTCTTTCTACTATGCCCTTAATGCTTATAATAAATTCAAATTCGATTTCATTCAATAATAATTATTACGTTTTTATAAATTTCGAATGCGTTTAAATTACGAAGTAATCTAATCTTCTCTAAATAAAATATATAACTTCTTTTCGACATTTCAGTTCACTTATTTGAAGTGAAGTTAAATATTTACATATGTATATTGGAAATGTCTGTTTAATTGAAAAGGTCAAGATATGTAAAGTAAAGACTTTGACAGCCATTTGTCACGTAGATGTGACTTCGCTTTGCCAGAGATTATTGACGAGCATTATGCAAATTAATTACTATCTGCAGAAAGTGAAAGAGATATCGGCGTTGAGAGTATATCGTCAAAGTGTTAATTTTGATTTTTTCTAAGTTATATCACGGCTTTAATGCAATTGTGAGTGATCTGAAAAAATTGCTGTACTTATTACTCGTCAACATTCAATAGACATAGACATGTCATAAAACCTCTCGCGTCTCCCTGACCGCCCAAAGTCCCGTTACGCGCGGGCTACCCTTGGGCCTCGCTTCCCCGCCATCGCGACATACCGCCACCCTGTCAACTTGGAAATTCCAGGGTGGGCGGCATGCTCGCGGGCCAGGGAGGACCGTTCAAGAGGGTAGACCCGTTCTCATTGGCGGAAACCATCACCTTGTACCCGTACACCCATTCATAAATAAGCGCACCAACGCGGCAGAAAGACAGATCAAAAAGGGGAAATAGACAAGTAGCACGTAACGAACACACACCGCATAAAATTGTCACTCTTCAACATAAAGCCTTTGTCTTATAACATATTAAAGTACGTGCAAACTACAAGTCACCACGACTTCACACCAACAACCACACCAAGAACCACCGACAATCCTGCGCCACCACTCTCGAGCGTACCGCTTGTTCGAAGCGCGCGACGCAACACAGGGATTTGCAATACCGGCCAAAAGTTTGGAATCACCGAGCATTGCAATTTACACAAAAATTTGCAGAAAAGAGTCAGCGACTTTGAGAATTTTTTATCATTCGAATCAATTGATAAATGTAGAATTGAGATAAACTTGAAATCTATAAAAAATTAGCAGCAGATTTAATATTGATGAAAAGCGGGAGGTGATTCCAAACTTTTGGCCGGTAGTGTATGAGATAGAAATTGCCTTTGCACCACGTGAAGACTTTGAAATATGAAATTTGAAATACAGACGCTTCTAATTAAACTAGATTGCGATTAAAACGGTGAAACGGTAGATTTTATATCTTAATTAAAAATTGCCGGACATTTCTGGGGTTCGAGTTAAATGGCCGAGCGATTAGATATCCCGTATACGTCTGTACTTGGAAAATCGTAAAAACGAACGAGATATTTGAAGATAAATAAATGTTCCGTATATGGAAAATTGTAAATGTACCTGTACAGCTTAGCGATATTAAAATTGCTGTTTGTTTAACAGAACAAACCGTCGGAGTTCAATAAGATATTCGTTTTAGAGGCAAGTGGCACGAAGGAGTTAATATCGTCTTTTCGCCTGCAGGTTTAATAAATTTTAAAGTTGCGAATTCAAACAGGAAATTGAAAAGTAAGGGGAAAAATACGTGGACAGAATTTTAAAGGAGAATCTCCCGCGCGTCATCTCGCCCGTTGGCTGGGCGCCGCGCCGCGGGAAAGGACTCTCCGGTCGATTGCAACATTTTCAGTATTTTTAACGTGGAACAAAGCGCGATCTGCATATTTTAAACATAGTGCTATGGGAAAAGTTTCTTGCATATTTAACCGTTTGACTCGTGGCCATACTTTTGCTCCGCATTGTTGCGTTTCCGCCCAAGCCTCTGCGGCATTTTACAATTTATTTCCAATAGAAATGTAAACGTGTTTCACTTTCTGCGAATTTTGCGGAATGGAAACGCGAAAAATTAAGAATTGTCGAGTGCGATGAATTTATTTCAGCGTATGTGTCTATCTATTAATGTATTTTTTATTTGGAAAAAACAGTTAGAAATATTGTAAGAAAAATTTACACAAATTCACAGCTGTCTTGTGGAATCTATTTCTTTAATCTTCTAAAAGTGATAATTTCCGATTTTGATGAAACTTTGGTATATGATAATTTAAAAGAAAAATATTTGACACGTATTTTTTGTGAAGGGGTGAAAATCGTTCTCAAGTTTGGAGAAAGTAATATATTTAGTCTTCTCAAAAATTATTGGAGACAAAGGGATAGTGTAAATTGACGAATTTTAAAAAAGCAATTAGAAATATTGTAAGAAAAATTTACACAAATTTACAGCTATCTGACACAATCATTATTTCTTTAATCTTCCCGAAGTGATAATTTCCGATTTTGATCAAACTTTGATATATGATAATTAAAAAAAAAAATATTCCATAGGTATTCTTTGTGAAGGGGTGGAAAATCGTCCTTTTGGAGAAAGTAAATTTAGGCTAATGTCTAAAAATTATTAGAAACAAAGGAATAGTGTGAATTGACAAATTTTGTATTTCTCAACAAAATGTTGGAAAAAATAAAAAATTATAAAGAATTTTAGTCAAATGTAAGTCAATAATTTTCACCCCTTCCCTATGAACGATTTTCACAATAAACAAAAAGAAAAGAAAAATAGATGTCGAATAGAATTTTCGAAAAACAGAAAATTGCTCTTTACCTCTATTAATTTTCGAGATATCAGACTAAATACATTCACCCTCCAACTTTGATACCAATTTCCATCCCTTCACTCTGAATAATTGCCTATACAAAAAAAAAATACTTTCTTCATTTCAACCATACACAAAAATTTCCTCCAAATCAAAAATTTTCACTTCGGTATCTACATTCCCTTCTAACCTCAATTTCCTTAATCACCAAAGAGTCAAACCAAAAAAAAAGAAATCAACACAATACCCTCTGCATCACCAAAAAATGTTAAAACCACCACTGGAATCACCCAACTGGTCACTCTAAAACTCCAATCTCTCTCTCTCTCTGTACTGTATCCGAGCGAAAACTTGTTGCGTTCATATTTATTCCGAGTGGCTTGCGTGAAACAGAAACGCGATCCGTAAACGGTCATTCGAGGTAGTAACTTTAGAAGAAAAGCTGTTGAAAAAAAAGGAGAGAGAAGAGAAACAGAATCATGGTCTGGGTGGTTGGAAGGGGATCGGGGTCGAAGGGTGAAAAGAGCAAGTCGAAGTTGGCGGAAAGTCGTAGAATCGTGGACGACGACGTTGGCGTTGGTGTGGGGGCTACAGGGAAGAGTAGTTTGCTCCTGTTTCCAATATCACTACTGTCTTTGATGCATCGACGTCCCGAAGTACTACTTGTTCTTTTCGGTCCCGTGAACGGAAAATCAAATGAATTCCAAGCGTGTCGGGTCCGTGTCCTTTCCATCGACGCGGCTTATCTTTGTTCATTTTTCCTTCGTCCTTTTTCTCTACCCTCTGCCGCGCTTCTTGCCTCCGCAACACCGAAAATACCTTCGACCTTTCACCTCACTTTCTCACCTTTAAACCGTTGATCACTGTGGCGCGTGTTTCCCACTCTGAATGGATTATTGCGTTGCTTCTGCACCGGCAACTCGGGAAATAGAGCTTAAGTGTCTATTAAGAGTGAATTTTACGGGTTCTCGTGGAGAAACGCGGGGAAATTTAGAAAAGTCGCTGGGTTCGATGATGGTAACGCTGCGGTGAGAATTAAAAGTTTCAGCTTTCTCGTGGAACTTTGGAGAATTCACCTTTTTTCCTTGATTCTTTTCTGGAATTTTCAAGAATTTTAGGGAAATCTGGTTTAATTTGGGAAGGTCTTGTAAGATGTTGCAAAAAAGAGCAGATAAACAACACTATGTAGCGTTTTTCTCACTTGAAATGTCAGCAGAACAATTAACCGCAAGGCTGATCACTATAGGATTCAGGGATTAGTTATTATAAGGCATTAACCGGGAGAATTAGTGATTTTGAATTGCATGAATTTATCAATGCTAGTACAGAATTATCTGAACTGCCTTTCATCGTAGATGACACCCCTGCGCTATCAATTAGTGCCCTTCGCACCAGAGATATGCGAGGAAGAGGAATCGATACTTCACGTTTTTCTTTTAAGTTAATTTATTGTTAGGTCTATGCAACAGTTCTTATCGTTTATGTGTTCCTTCTCTTATTTAAATTTATTCGATTCCAGTTGTGTAAGAGTAAAGAATTTCAGGCGCATAAAATGACCGATATTAAAATAACGTCGGTTCGCTTGACGATGACTATGTGCGATATTGCGTGTGCCGCTGCCCTTTACCCCGTTTTTATATGCTTCTTCGGCCTTTAGGGCCCTGCAAGCTGCGGGGTGGGGGTGCAGCCTGCGCTGCTCCTTGTCTAGGGCCCCCTGCGGCTCGGGCCCCGCGGGCGTTGCCTAGACGCGTCGCACGGCGCCTCTACAGTTGATTCAATATACTGAATATAATGTTGATATTGTATTATCAGCATTCCTACGACTAATTATGAATATGATAAAAATAAATACAGATTCTACAAAAAAAATCACTGTATGTTTCTTTTCTTATTTAAATTTTCACAGTTGGCATTTATAGTAATACTAGGTAATTCAATATACTGAGTATAATATTAATATTATATTATTAGCATTCTTACGAGGAGTAAAAGTTTCCATCGCTTGCAAATTGATAGCACTAAAAAGAGCACCGCATGTTCCTTCTCGTATTTAAATTTTCACAGTTAATTCGACATTCTGAATATAATATCGATATTATATTATCTGAATGACTAATTCTGAATACGATAAAAAATAAATACACATTCTGGAAGGAAATTGTAAATCAATGACACTAAAAAAAGCACCGCATGTTCCTTCTCTTATCTAAACTTTCACAATTGACATTCATGATAATACCACAGTTAATATAATAATAATAACCGAATATAATATCAACCCAATAACATAATACTACGAGTGCATACCAGGAAAATGAACTTCTCCAAAATAATCATTTTCCACGAAGATCGTTATCGACAATGATTTCAATTGTACAGCAACTCTAAGAAGATTATACTTTGCCGGTAAAAGTGTTGAACAAGAGAGAGAGAGAGAGAGAGAGAGAGAGAGGTGTCTAAAATCACTTCTCTATCTGTCGGAAAGTTGAAAGCGGTTCGTGATTTAACTTAACAGAATATTTCAATCTAAAGCAGCGGTTCTTCTCCTCTCGAGTGGTCGAGTTCTCGATACTTCTTGATCCTGAAACGGTTGTAGTTCGAACGGTTTATAAATTTCCCGATAATCCTCCTGATACCGGATTCGCGAAAAATCTACGGCTTTCCGAGTACACGCGGTTTTAAAAGTCGAGGAAAATTCATCCTGTTCTTCTCCTATCCAGGCCGTCGTACAGTCAGATTTTTGAGCTGTAGTCGTCGATAATAGCGAAACGCCCCCAACTTTCCGTACAGTGGGTGCCTATCTCGTTCAAATCGAATTCCATCAAGTTGAAGAAGTATATATCGGCGACGAGAAGCGTTTCGAGAGCAGTCTCGAAAGTTTTCAGAACTGCATATACCTATCGTTGGCTATTTTTCCCATTTCCAACGACTTCCTGCCGACGATTACTATAAAATATTGGCCCTTCGCGATATTGATCTTGCGTGTTATGTCATCAGACGAGTTCGCTTCTCGGAGGACTTATCGCGTCTCTTCGCTGAGATGCGTCAACGTTCTGAGTGTGTTTAATTTGGTATTTCGCGACGAAGATGTTTGCTAATTTTCGTTTCGTAGTTATTGTTAGATGTTTGGTATCCCGTCTTTAGGCGGTCGTAAAATATGCGATCAGTCGGTTTGGCGCCAAATTCTCTCGCTATTCTCTGCTAGCAAAATTTGACAATGGGAAAATTTTAGAAGCTCTTGAAACTTAGACCCAAAATTTTTCCTGTGTTTGGAAATTGACATTGGCCTTCCACGTTGGGTAAGGTACGTGAGACCATTTTTATTCTCTTTCGAGCTCGAGGAGGCTAATAGTAGCCACGCCTAAAATTAGGGTGGCTTCTGGTACTCTATCAAATTTTTCATTTTAAACAAATGAACGCGAAATATTTCGTATCTTGCACGGTTTTCACAGTGATATGTAAATTCACAATTTTTTTTAGGAGGTTTTTTCACTCCTAGGGCCGTTTCAATGCTGAAATGAAAAATAGTTTCGTTAGTAATATCGTTGAAATTTTTTTGAATTTTTGGGTTGCCGAATTTCCCTTGTCAGTGATATTCAAACAATTCTGAAACAAATCTTGACTAGATTATAGCAATAAATATGGTGAATCTCTAGCGAACCTAGACTTTGTAATC